CAGAATATTTTTAAATGATACGCAAATGCTGATAATACTAAATTGCCTGCATTTGGGGAGATAGGTGGCCTGCAGTAAAGGGGGACTTAGTTTTCATTATGCTTCTACTTTAGCATATAAGCGTGTGCTGCTTTTTCAGTCAAATGGAGGAGGAAGAAGTGGAGGAGGAAGGAGAAAGAGGAAGTAGAGATGGGAAACCGTCTGCCTGGGCTTAACCATACTTCTCAGTTCCATCCACCTTCCAACTTCCAGATCTCATCCCTGCTCCCTTCCCCCAACTCTGACCCGCTGCAGCCTCTGTGCCTCAGTTTCCACCTAGTCATCGCCCCTGGGGGCAGCTCCCCTTCATTCTGTAGGGACCAAGGGCTGCCTTTCATGCCAAGCCACAGAAGCTTCAAGGGTCCCCACACAGGACCTCAAATGCTTGGAGGAGGGGAGTTGCCCCAGGTGGAGTCCGGTGAGCAAGCCAAGGGGCTTGGTTTCCTATTAAGTGCGTGGAAGGAGTGGCTGTTAAACACCAAGCTTCAAAGAGCTTAGGATTTTCAAAAATCGCTTTTGGGGAATATGCAGCTTTTATTGGAGGTGTCAGACATTAACGAGGTTCTGGATCTTTCCCAGCCTGGTGAGCACTCTCTCTCTCTCTCTTCTCCGCCCCCACTCATTCCATCAACCAGCTAGCCCCTCTTTGATCAATCCAGAGAGGTTGGGGGTTCAAGGGGTACTCCTGTCCCCGTCCACAACCCACCTCCTCCCCTTCTCCCTTCTCACTTCAGAAGCTGAGAGAAGCAAGGGGAGGGCAGTGGGAACCCAGGGAAGGGCTGGGGAGCAGGTTCAGACAGAGCAAAGAGGCCAACCTTGCTCCCGCTCCTCCAGGAAGGGTTTCATGGCAAAGAATTAGGAGAGCTGGCCTGCCCTCTGCCAGCCCAGACACAAAACCCTCAGCACACACGTGCTGCCTCTGGAAATGATCAGGCTTTTATATATTTGAGATCCTTAAACAGGAGGAGTTGTAGAAGCTCCATTTTTGTCCCAACATGTCATTACAAATGAGTTTTTCTTGACGACATTTTTAATGCTGGTTCATTTCTCAGTGTTAGAATGTACGTAGTGAGCTTGAAATGTAAGTAGTGCGTCCAAAATAGAAGGGCATCATCCACTTCAACTGGAATAGATGACACATTCAAGAATATGGGTGAGGGGCTGGGGGTGTAGCTCAGTTGGTAGAGTGCTTGTCTCGCTAGCACAAGGCCGTGGGTTCAATCCCCAGCACCAAAAAAAAAAAAAAAAGTGTATGGAATGAATGCATGAATTCATGTTTGCCTGTAGGAATGAATGAATGACCCTGCTTTACGTTCATCTTTGTTTATAAAATGAAAGCATTAAATATTAGATACTTGGTGAGATTAGACCTCTACATTTAGAAATTATTCCTTATTCCAGTTGGCTGGGCCTTGGAATAACTGGGAAAAGTATTATGAGCTGTTAGTTTTTTATTTTTGTGGATGGAACCCAGGGTCTTACACATGCTTGGCAAGTGCCCTCCTACTGAGCAACATCCGCGCCCTATACTAAGAGTCTTCAGGAAAAGGAACCTTACCTTGTTCATCCTCAATAAACTATGGATGGCTGGATGCACAGGTGAATGGGTGGGTGAGTAGAATAAAACATAATATGGTGATCCCTGGAGATATAGGGAAACAAGAAGACAACCATATATCAAAATTTAGTCAGTCCTGCCTGAGGCAGGAAGATGGACAAAATAACCTCTTGGCTATGTTTCCAGTCCAATCATCGGTGCCAGAATGGGCATTGAGGAATATGTGAATCCAGATCCTGAACATATCTTATTCCTTTGGTCTCCCTCAAGTCATTCCTTGCTAACCTGAACAGCCTTCAGGGAATTCAGTCTCTCACATGTGTGTGTGGATGGTCATCTCTACCACTACTAGCCCCCTGGATCCTCCTTCTGCTCCCAGTAACCATGGGGACTCGCCAGTCACCCACCACCAGGATTTAGTGTTTCTCTATCCCATCTCAGCAAGATCCCCTGCAAGAAAATAGGGGATGAGTTCTAGCCTTTTTCTGGATAACTTCTTCCTGGAGAATGGGTCCCAGGTCAACTATGGAGAGCTAAAATGGAGATATGCAAGGCCTATTGGTTCATCTCACTGGAGGATCAGGCAGGTCTGAACAGCAACACACAACACAACCTCCAAAGAAAGTTCCATTTCTTATTTTATTTTTTGTTTTTCCTTTTTCCAGGACTGGCGATTCAACCCAGTGGTACTGTTCCACTGAGCTACATCCCTGGTCCTTTTTATTTTTTATTTTGAAACAAGGTCTTGCTGAGGCTGGCCTCATACTTGCAATCCTTCTGCCTCAGCCTCCTGTATAGCTGAATAGCCTATAAAAGCGTGTGCCACAGGGCCCGGCAAAAGGGCTGATTTCTTACAAATTCCAACAAAGAAGACCTTGAGACAGAGTTCTGTCCCATTCCCTTGCAGACCTGTTGGTCTTGCTCTTTGATTTCCTGTCCTTTAGGAAACTACAGTCTCTTTTTTCCCATCACCTGGACCACATCACTCCCATATTTCCATCTTTTTCTAACCCAGAGTTTGGCCACTTGCTCATGCACACCCTCCCCTGGGCAGCAGCAGCTGGCTCAGGAGAGCAGCAGTGGCCCTCTGGAGCCCTCAGGCTCCCACAGAGAGCAGCAGCCAATGTCCTCCTCAGGCCGGGAACAGGCGTGTCTACATCCACCATGAGCACTGGTGGGTTTTTCCCTCAGCACCTGGTTCTCACCAGGGGAAGGCCACTGCTCCCAGCTTGTCTCTGACTCTGCCCCTTATAAAACAGCATCCCAGCATTCGTTCACTCAGGAGCATCACCCCTTCCCAAGCTTAGCTCACAGGGCAGCGTCACCACGTTCATCATTGAGGGTTCTTAGCATCTGGAATGACTAATTTGATTTTTAATAATTCCTATTGTCCCCTGATGAGAGGAAGGAGGCTGCCAGGTTGTCCATTCTGCCATTATGAGAGGTCTCATTTTGGATGGCCCATCCAATTAGGCCCTCTCTGGGAGGGGGATGGAAGGTTGCACTGTCCTCAAGATGTCCCATAGGAACAGAGCTGGATGCCGTGGTGTGCACGCCTGTAATCCCAGCTACTGGGGAGGCCAAGGCAGGAGGATCACAAGTTTAAGGCTAGCCTGGACAACTGAGCAAGACCCTAGATCAAAATTTTTTTTGAAAATTTAAAAGGCTGGGAATACATTCAGTTGTAGAGTTCTTGCTAATGGATGTGAGGCCCTGGACTCAGTCCCCAGTATTAGAAAAGAAAAAAGAATGAGAAAGAGGAGAAAGGGAGGGAAGGGAAAAGAAAAAGACAACGAAAGCCAGCTGGGGAAAATGTGTCCCAACTCTCCAACATCTCCAGTCGGTATTTATGAATGGCTGATACCTTCTCTTTTACCCAGAATGCTCTTCACACTGTGTCTTCTAATCCAACCCCCACGCCCCACCATTGTACAGTTCAGGAGAGTGAAGTCCAAAGATTGCCCAGGGTCCTGTACTTGGTAAAAGGCTGGTTGAGCCTAGAGCACAGGCTCCCTGACCCCCTCTTTCTCCACTTTACCATTGCAAACACTTTTACATTTTCAACTAGAAGCCACGTCGTTGCCATGACTGCCACTATGCCAGGTGACAGTGATGAAACCACTTTCCTCTTCCCCCGGGCAGGGCAGAAGCTAGGTTCTGAAGCTGCAGAGCCAAACATTGGCATTTGGGTGGGGGTGGGGGGGTACCAGGGATTGAACTCAAGGGCACTCAGCCCCTGAGCCACATTCCCCAGCCCTATTTTGCATTTTATGTAGAGTCTCATTGAGTTGCTTAGTGCCTCACTTTTGCTGAGGCTGGCTTTGAACTCTTGATCCTCCTGCCTCAGCCTCCCAAACCACTGGAATTACAGGCATGCACCACCATGCTGGGCTAACACTGTCATTTCTGATTCCATGAAGCTTAGGGGGAAAAAAAAAAAAAAAAAAAAAAACATGTCGTGAGCAAAAACAGTCCACTTCTGAGGCAGTCACACACAGTTGAAAATACAAACCCCATACAAGAACACACGTGCATATGCCACACAGATATCTGTATTGAGAGTGTAAAGGGATGAGCGTGGGCTCTGGATTCAGGTGGACTTGATTCATTTCCCAGAGCTAACATTATTGGCTTTGAGTCTGTAAGTAAATTACCAGATCCTTCTAAGCCTTTGTACGCAAAATGGGGAAATTAACACTCATTCAAAGACGTCAAAAAGCTCAACATGAACCAGGCCAGGTGCAGCTGCATGCATGCCTGTAAGCCCGGCTACTTGGGAGGCTGAAGCAGGAGGATCACATGTTCAAGGTTAGTCTGGGCAACTTAGCAAGACTGGCTCCAAATTAAAAATTTTAAAGGGCTTGAGATGTAACTCACTGATAAAGCACCTCTGGGTTTAGTCTCCTCTACTGAAAGGGCAGGGGCAGTTGAGCCAGAGGCCAGAGAAGGAATGGAGGAATATGAGGAGTGAGAGACAGAGGGGGTCCTAATGGGAAGATACTTGGAAACCTCAGATAATGATCTAAGAAGTCATACTGCAGAAATTATTCACTAGAATGCACAAACCCCAGAAGAAAGTTCAAATTCTTTTCTCCTTATGATCTGGATACCCAGCCCAGGTCCCCTCCCTCTGAAGAATCCTTCCCATTCGTCACCACCCTATTGTGTCTTCAAGACTTGGCCAGAGGACTCTCCAGCTGTCTCCCTTCCACCAGGCTTTCTCATCTCCCCACACAGGGTCCTGTGCCAGACCAAGCAGCCACCCACAGACAGGCAGACCTGAAACAAGCCTGGGCTTTCTGGCCTGAGCCAGGCCTCATCAGGGCCCACTGCAGAAAGTGAAGCTGAGAGAGAGGCTAACAGAGAAGGCTGCAGGGATTCATCTGCCACTGAGAGTTTTCTAAAGTACAGGGTGGGAAGGGGGCCGGGCCGAAGCATGCCCTGTGTCTGTCTATGCAAAGACCAAAGACAAAATTGAGTCAGATGCCAAGGTCACTGAACAGATAAACTAGGGTGAGTCCAGAGCCACTGTCCAGGACAAAGAGAGATGGAGGTGGGGGCTGATGTGCAGAAGCCAGTGAAAGCCAGAGAGAGAAGCTTGGCATTGATGAGATGGACAGCCACAGGCCCCCTGGACATCAAGCCAGGGGCTGAGTCAGCCACCCAAGCTGGAGGCGGCAGGAGGACAACTGGGCTAAAACAGGCCTCTTCAGAAACAAGCGGGGGCGGGAGCTGGCCATGAGGGAAACGGAGGCAGCTACATCAAGCAGGCCCCCGTGAGAAGCTCGAGTGTTAGTGGCCCCAGCACTCTTCCCCGTTCCCAGGGAATGGAGCACAGGACAGCTTTGATCCCTGCAGTATGAAGCATCATCACGGGGGCGGGCAGCCCTCCGTCCAGGGAGCCTGAACCTGTCCTCTTCCACTGCCTTATAAAAGTGGCCCTTCCCCCACTCCCGCTCTTCCTTGTGCAACATCCTGGGTTCTCCTCGGCCCCAGCTTCCCCACGACACCCCACCTGCACACTCCCTTTCTTATCCCGGCATGCTGAGCTCAGCCTCTCCCCCTGACTCAGCACCCAGCGAAGCCGCCTCATCCCACCTAGAAAGGCACAAACACACTCCCTTTGAAGGTTTCTCATGACAACGCAGGTTCCCTGGTTGTGTGACCTGAGGAACGCCATGTCATCTATCTGCCCTGTTCCCTGAGGGACATGAAGGAGGTTCCTGCCAACCCCTATACTCTGTGTCCCCCATGGTTGGGGTGTTAGTAGGTTGGGGTCTTCTGCAGTCTAGATACTGAGCCAAAGAGTCTTTGAGGCAGTTGAAGTTCAGAGAGGTTAAGGACCCAAGTTTGCACAGCCAGGCAGCACCTGAGCAGGATTTAGAACTGTGCTGTTTGCCTCAGACTGGGTACACAGCAGCCCAGCAATCATTGGTTGAATTGTTGGATAAATCTCCTAACAGTGAAGATGGGAGAAACTCAATAGAATCCGCTGGCTAATACGGCTCAGGGTCTCCACAGCCTAGGTATTAGTAATGCTTCCCCCAGGGGGGGACGATCTCCCCAAACCAAACTGCGTCTACTCCTAGAATGTGTTCACTCACCTTAGCCCTTCTCTCCGGCTTGGAAAAACACGTTCTATATAAGTTCCTCCTGAGCAACAACTGTGAGGATGGTGGGCACTGAAATGTTTTGGTTTTTTATTGTTGTTTTGATGGTTTTGTTTTGTTTTATTTGGGTACTAGGGATTGAACCTAGAGGTATTTAACCACTGAGCTACATCTCCACTCCTTTTTATTTGTTCTTTTAAGGCAGAGTCACACTAAGTTGGTTAGAGCTTTGCTAAATTCCTGAGGTTGGCCTCAAACTCTCAATCCTCTTCTCTCAGCCTCCCTGGCCTCTGGGTTTACAGGCGTGTGCCACCACATGGCACCTGGCATCACTGAACTGTTCTCTAGGAAATTCCAGCACTGCCAATATCCCCTCCAGGTCCTCATGCAAGACCTTGATCCTTGCTTGGAGTGACAGGCAAGGGCAAATCGGCCCCCTCCTGCTTGCTCCACAGCAGGCCCCTGCAGCCAACCCGGAGTGAGGTCAGAAGCCTGGGGCTGGGAAGTTCTGGCTGCCCAGGCTTAATTCAGAAGAAAGTTGCCCCCACCAGCCTGGGCCTCAGCTTTCTCCTGTTAATTGAGATAATGACCCAGCTCCCAGGGCTGCTTCCAGCTTGAAAGGGGCTTTGAGATGCTGGGATGAAAGGAACAGGGCTGAGCACAAAGCTCCCTGCAAGCTGTCCCAGAGTGGGAGGCTGGCCCGGCCTTCCCAGCCCCTGCTGAGTCACTTCCTCCTCCCTCCTGGCAGGACTTGGCCTCTGTAATCCAGGCACAGTAATCCCCTTCAGGACAGTCGTTGGGGTGCACGTGGGGGGAATCCCACAGTCTGTAGGACATAGGTTGGGCTTGAACCTCAATTCACCACCTCCTGGGTTGGGGAGGGAGGCGCTGCTGGCCTTGGTGCAGGTGGGGACGCTGTCCCACATTCTTAGCTTCCTGACTCTCCTGACGTGTCTGGGAGCGCTAGGTGGCTGAGCAATGAGCATCCTTTGTTACACTCGGAGAAGCTGAGGAACAAAGAGCAGAGGAGCCTTCCCAAAGCGGAGGAGCACATCTGAGGAAAGCAGAGCTGAAGCCCTCGGGCTCCTTCCCATGGGGCAGCCAGGCCTCAGGTCACTCTCTCATTTAATTGTGGCGCCCTCCAGTGAGCTCACAGCATTTTTATGTGCTTTGGTTACCAGAAGGTGATGGTTGCATAGATGTGGTCTTGGCCTTCAAGGAATTTCTCCCTCTGCTAGACCAGTACCTCTTTAGTTCCTAGAGGATCACTAGATATCTTGGGATTAAAACAATAAAATTGAATTGAAAAGCCTGGCACAGTGAACACACGCCTGTAAGCCCAGCACCTCAGAAGATTGAGGCAGGAGGATTGCAAATTCAAGGCCAGCCTCAGCAACTTAGCAAGACCCTCAGCAGCTTAGTGAGAACTTGTCTCAGAATAAAAAATAAAAAGGAATAGAGATGTCGCTTCATGGCAAAGTATCCCTGGGTTCCATCCCAGATACAAATTTAAAAAAAAAAAAAAAACACAAAACTGGGTGTTGAGCAAAGGAATGAGGTCTTCTGGAAGGTCAAAGGCAAAGAGGTGAGAGCTGCTAAGGAGTAGGGTGTCCAGGGTGGCCTGGCCAACGGACCAGAACTACAAGATCCAGCAGAAAATTCTCCAGCTGGTCTGCGGTTGGTACCATGGGGCCGAGCTCCCCTAACCCAGCTCCTTCAGAGTCTCATGACCTCAGGGAACTAAAATTTTTGTACCTCCCAAGGATCTAGGATTCCTTCCCCTTCAGCATTCAGACATGAAATTAATATTGAGCCACGGCCTGCTTTGGAACAGATTTTGTTCGGTGCAAAAAGAAGGCATGGACCCTGCCCTCAGAGTAGAGAAGAACCACATGCAGGTGACCAGACTACAAGTGGCATGTGCTGAGATGGAAGGCACCACAGCTGCAGGCTGTGGGGCCAGGAAGGAAGGACTGGAGGGGGCAAAGCCGTGAAGGCTGTCACTGGTACTTAGACCCTCCTCTTTCCAGTTTTGAGGCATCTCTCCCCAGTTTGAGGGCTGCCATGTGGTTCTTTAAACCAGCCAGACCTTGCTGGAGTCACCCCAGGCTCCTAGCAGTTTGTTCCATTGGGATCTTTCCCACAAAATTGAGCAAACACTCATGAAGTCTTAGGACAGCATCGAACTCACAGCAAGCATCTCTTCGGGTTTGTTCCTTTGCTCCTGGTACTTCCAAGTCTATCCTTACTAGAAAGCAATGCAGAGTGTTGGTGTGGACCGTAAAGAACTCTCCAAAGCAAGGGTGGTTAAACCCCAGAACCGCAGCGTGAGGGAGACTATGCAATGGCTTTAAAACAGAGCTGGTGCTGGCTGCCCAGCTGCTTGACGTGGCTTGGGAAGTCCGGCCTGGAGACAGAGGGCTTGCTGCAAAGACCTTGCAGATTTGCTCTGGGCTGGGACAGACCTGAAGGCTGCAAGGGAGGGCACGGTAAGGAGTAGGCGTGTGAGAGGCCCTTGGGGTTGTTTTCCTATTTTTCTGGGCACTGGGGCTCAAGGCTCGCTCCTCTTGGCACTGGTCCTTGCTGGGCGCCGGCTCCAGCTTGTTAGTTTTAACTGGAGCAATTTCCTTTGAACTCAGCTTGAATTAGCATCACCATGGCGATGGATCAGGGTTTTCACAAGTCGACCTGGTCTTCACCTTTGAGCAATTAGTTCGAAGAAGAAAAGAAGGGGGAAGGAGGGGGGGAGATAAAAGATAGGGAGAAAAAATGGGGAGGAAGGAAAGGAGAAAGCAAGATGAGTGGGAAAGGAAGAAGAAATTAATGGAGTAGGAAAAGGCAAAAGATGAAGAGGGGGAGATGGAATGTGAGAAGGCTGGAGAGGAGCTGGAGGAGGTGGGAGGAAGAGGGGATGATGCAGAAGCCAAGGAACATTCTGTGCACCCCACCAGGCTTAGCCCAGGGACTTAGAACATCTACTTCCGGGCCTTCCCAGCCCTTCCCAGCCCTTCCCATGGCCCCACCTACTGGGAGAAGAGAGAGAAGCAGGAGAAAACTGAATACTAGACCCAGGTTACAAAGAAAAGTACCTGATTTTCTATTTCTAGGAAAAAGGACATTGAAATTTCGATGGGGGTTGCACTGAACTGCAGATCGCATTGGGAAATATGGAGATTTTAGCTGTATTAATTATTCCGATTCCAATCCATGAACAGGGGATCTCTTTCCATTTACTTCTGTCTTCTTTAATCCACATTTCATTGTTTTTATTACACGAGTCTTTCTCTTCCTTGGTTAAATTTATTCCTAAGTATTTTTTGTAGCCATTGTAAATGGAGTTGTTCTCTTAATTTCTCTACATTTAGTTTTTCACAAAATTCCTTGTTGGCAAATAGAAACGTTCCTGATTTGTGTGTGTTGGTTTTTGTACACTGCGATGAATTCTAACGGTTTTGTAACGGACTCCTTATAGCTTCCTACTCATGTGATCATATCAGCAGTGATAGTTTCACTTCTTCCTTTCCTATTGAATGTCTTCAATTTCTTCTCTTGCCTAATTGCCCACCCCACACCCAGTCACCCTTAGGTAGCAAGCTTACTTTCAGCCCCTATTTTTCTGCAAGGACCACCCAAGTATGAGACAAGAACAGGCGCTCAGGGCCTGACGACTGAGGTGGGGCCTCAGATTCCCTGTGTACTTGCCCTATGGCTTGGACAAGCCACCACCTCTGTAAAATGGCCATCGTGGCTTCTCCTCCTTGACTTGAGGCCTTTCTCTGAGAGAACAGATTCCACGTGGGCTCTGTGGGGTCCTTGCTTGCCTGCTTGGTGGTTCTCACTGGTCTGGCAGCTTCAGGAAGGCAGCAAGTCGGTCTTCACCATTGGTGAATTCCAAACACCAGCACAGTGCCTGGCACACATTCTGCAGTGCATTAGCGAATGGATGAATGGCTGTTGTTTTCCAAAAATGGGTTGTAAGAGCAGAGAAAAGGGAATAGTAAATTAGAATTTGATAAAGGGAGGGTCTCTCTTCAAGACTTGTCTGTCCCCACTGCCTCCAGGAAGCCCTCCTCAACTTGCCACTCCTCCCCGCCTCCCAGGGCCCCTGCAGCCATCCCTATCGCCATGCAGTGGACTCGTTGATTGGCTCCTTCGTTGCCCCAGCTGTCAGGCCCAGTGAGCAGAGACTGTGTTATTGCCCACTTCCTTGCTTATTCCAAAATAAGTCTCTGCTCTAGAAATGTTTCTGAATGTATGAACCTGAGGATTCCAGCACAGAGCCAGGTGTCCCCCTCTTCCAGGCCAGTGAAGGCAGGTCCTGGAGAAACAAATGCATAAACAGAGGGAAGGCTGAATGGAAAACAGGAAGAAGAGAGGGGAGGGGGTATGGAGAACAGGGGCTCTTGAGAGCCATGGTTATATCTGCTTTGCCAAGAACTGAGGAGGAAAGATGTCTCCTGGGCCACCCCAGAACTCTGGTTACTGAGGACGCAGGACATTGAAGGAAATGACCCTCTGTCTATTCTCTGTGGGAGGATCAGATTGTGGCAGAGAGGATCCCAGGTGGAGGGGAGATGGGGTGCCCAACCTCATCAAGGACCCCCAAAAAAGATCCCAGGCAGGCTTGTTGAGACGACTAGAAAATATTACTGTCCTAGAACCAAGTCTCCTCTTGGCATGCCCCCACCATTGGATGATTTGGGGCTCTCCTTTCATCTCTCCTGAGGTGCACCATGCCCCACGTAGCCTAGCAGCATGGTGAGCAAAGACCAGAAGGCGGGATTCGACGCAGACCCTGCTTCTTAGCTGACCGCTATCATGATAGGCATTAGCAAGTGCATACCCTCTCAAGGGCTCTGGCTCCCCAACTGTGAAGTGGGGCTAAAGATAGTCCCTGTCTCATTTGGTTGTTGTGAGGACTGAATGATATAATGCTTATAGAGCACCGAGCACGTCCCAGCACGGTCAAAGCTAGTCTCGTTCTTCCCCCAGGTAAAATCGAAGGAAAACCTTCTCCTGGCACCTCCATTTCATCCATCCGTCCACCCCCAAATAAGTGAGCAACCTTGCTTTTCTGAAGAACTCCACACAGTCACTATCTCTGTGGGTCTTAAGAATTGCCCACTTTCAGCCAGGCACGATGGCACACTCCTGTAATCCCAGAGGCTCAGGAGGCTGAAGCAGGAGGATCTCAAGTTTGAGACCAGCCGCAGCAACTTAGCAAGGTCCTAAGTAAATTAGTGAGACCCTGTATCTAAATAAAAATTTTTTAAAAGGGCTGGGATGTGGCTCAATGGTTAAGCACCCCTGGGTTCAATCCCCAGTACCAAAAAAAGAATTGATTCCCCTCTCCCTGCCCCGCACTCTTTGGCCCCCTTTACATCCCTCCCTTTGCTCTTCTAGTGGCTCTTGCAGCTCTCACCCCAGCTCTTGCTTCTTTTCCCAAGTCCTGCCTTTGGCCTCTCTGTCTCGCCCTCCCCTTTCCTCCTCTCTGCTCATTATATAAAAAAGAAATCTTTCTAAATACGCCAAACATGCACTCATCCCCCAAGGACCCCAGCCTAGCACAAAGGGCTGGTTCTTTCGGGCTGCTCTATGTGGCCTCCTTCTTGCCCACTGCCTTTGAATCGTGGCCTCATTCACATGACTGGAAGGGCTAACGGGGCATTTTCCCATGTGGCTGGGTGGGGAGGAGGGCTGGGGGCCGCGAGGCTGGAGACCAGCAGCTTAGACTCTTCCCCAAATTTGGCTCATTCACAAGAGGAAAAACAAACTGCTTCCTGGATATCATGAATAATTCCTGGAACCTAAAGGTGTCTATCAGATTTGCAGAAAAGATTCAGGTTAGAGCCAGGCACAGTGGCACACGACTGGAATCCCAGCGGCTTGGAAGGCTGAGGCAGGAGGATTGAGAGTTCAAAGCCAGCCTCTGCAAAAACCAGGTGTAAGCAACTCAGTGAAACTGTGTTTAAATAAAATTCAAAATAGGGCTGCGGATGTGGCTCCGTGGCCCAGTGCCCCTGAGTTCAATCCCAGGTATCCAAAAAAAAAAAAAAAAAAAAAAGATTCAGATTAGAAATGGGGAAGATTGTGTAGACCAAACCAACAGCCACTGTGTGAAAGGGTGGGTCTTTAGAACATCTGGCTTTCTTCCTGGGATGGGTTGGGATCTCTCTGGCATGGAGGCAGAGATGGGCTTTGTGGTCCCTGGGAGACCCTCTGGCTGAGAGCAGCCCTGGGATTCTTGAGGGCTCCCAGGGTTCCCTGTGTTCCACCCCACCCCCACCCCCACCCTGTGCTTTCTGGCCAAGTCCCTGGGAGCACTGACCTAGGGCACTTGCAGCTCTTCCCCTCCAAAGCCCAGATGACCTTGTTCCAGCTGAGTCTAGAAAAACACCCTTGTGACGCACCCCAGGCTGGGGGAAGGGAGACGAAGAAGAGAGGGGCGCACCCATGGCCTTGCAGTCCCAGACAGCACCCAGCCTTCTCACAGAGGGTGCAGGACAGGCTCTCAGGGCCAGCCTAGGCCTTGCACGGGCTCTGCCTCTTGGCTGTGGAATTACCTGGGCCCTAGCGAGGTGAGGGGGACGGCCTTGGCCTCAGCATTCCCCTGCCCTCAAGTCCTAAGTTCTGAATTTCCCAGTCTCTCCCCTGCATTTTCCCTCAGCACCTCCCCTCCCTTTCCACCTCACCCCACCCCAGAGCAGCTGGGCTGCTGGAAGTCCATGGTGTTTCTGAGTTAATCAAAAACTCCTGTACTTTGCTCTTGAACTGAGGCCATCATTCCTTTGTCCCTGGGGCAGTGGGGTCAGCTTGCCCTTTCCTAGCTTAAACTATTTAGAAGAGTAAAGGGGAAAGTGGAAGAAGGAGAGGGGATTAACATCCATCAGGGGCCCCTGCTAACTCTCAGGCCCTGAACTGGGCACTGGGCAAACACTGGCCTCCAGTCGTCTAATAGATTGGTGTCTCCATTTTGCATTTAGGAACCTGAGGTGCAAAGCTTGGGGAAGCTTGCCCCCAACCTCACAAAGAGGAAATGAAGGACAGAGAGTGCTTTGAGGCTCCCAGTGGAGTTTCAAGGGTGTTTTAACCCATGAATTGGGTTATAAAATTCCACAATTGTTTAGGACAGAAAGTTGAAAATAGCTGATGGTCCAACTTGGAAGAAAGGGGTGGGAAGGGCTGCAGGGAGGCAGGGTCTGCAGACAGCCTGGGCTCCCAGCCAGAGGGAGAGCCCCAGGAGGACTGGCAAGGCCTGAGAGAGTGCAGATTACTTGGGCCTAAGGCCACCACCAAGACAGGACTGTGGGAGGATGGAGGCGGTTGAAGGGGAGGCCCAGAACTGGTCTGGAGAATCCTGGTCTAGACTGAAAAGATTAGGAGAGGCCAAGAACAACAAACTCATCCCCATGTGGGCCAGCAGAGCCTTAAAACTGGTGCCCTCCAAAGCAAGGCCGGCTTAGGTGGCACAGACCTGTCCCTGCCCACTCCAACACCTGCTCCCTTGGTCTCCCAACCCTGGGAATCCCACAGTGGGACACCTGGCATTGAATAGCCATTCCTTCTGCTTTCTTCCACTTTACCCCCCCCCTCCACTCTCCCTTATCTTCGACTGTCCCTCCCCCACAAGCCCTAAAGAGCAAATTCCTATCCTGACCATGAAGATTTGCTGGAATCTGGGAGGCCTGGGGATAAGGGAGAAGATGGGGCCAGAGGAAAGAGGGAGGCAGAAGGAGGAGCCAGAAGAGGGGGCAGAAGGAGGGTGCAGTGTTGGGGACTGAGGAAGGATGAGTTCCTGACAGGGGTGGAGGGAAGAGGGAAGACTGGTAAGATGAGTGGCCCCAGAACTTCCTGGGCTTCTGGAAAGATCTGGGGTGCAGGAACAGAAGGAGGGTAAGAGGCAGGTCAGAATTGGGCGTCCTCGATTCCCCTGTCCTCCCCTGCCCTACAGAGGGACATGTAATACAGCTGAGGGCCCAGCCTCTGTCAGGGAAAGGGCATGATGGGGAAGAACAGGGACCTTCCCAGGCTGCGGAGTACTCAGGTCTCCCAGGGGAGGGCAGGCCTTGCCCAAAGTTGAGTGTTGGGGCTCTGACTGGCTCGAGGTGGGTTTCTGTAGGAGGCTGGAGATGAGTCACGCCTTCTCCCATGCCTCGGGGTTGCGAGTGGGCGTGCTGAGTCACCATGTGCTGTCCTGCGTGTCTGGGGCTGTAGATGGAGCTTGTGGGTGACAGGTTCAAGGATGCTGCTTCTGTGCACTGCGAGGGGCCTCCAGGGCTGGAGGAGCCAAGCTTGTGCCAAGTGTGCTCTTCAAATATGCCAGCATACCTGTGTGCACTAAGTCCTCTGTGCCACCTCATCCATTCCATGTCTGTGCCTCTGTGAGTCCTCCTGAAATCAAGTGTGTGCCAGAGTGTGTCTGCATGTGTGGGTGTGTGCATACAGGGACAGTGGGGGGTTATCTGTCTATAGCAACAGGACCTGACCCTGCAAATATGGGGAAGGATGGAATGGGGGCCACCGTGTGCACCCATGTGCTCCAAATGCAAGCAAACTCCAGTTCCTGAGTTTCCAGCTGTCCCAGCTAAACTGTGTACAGATGTGCACTCCTCAGCTACTGCCATAAACAGACCTCCCAGGATTTTTCCAGAGGAAATGCAGAAATATTTTGGTGTCTGCTCTGGGCAGTAGAAAAGAGAGTGGGGATGGGGCTTGAGGAGAGGGCTTCAAACCTGAGGGAACTGAAAAGGCAAGTGCAACCCCCAAAAGCCATCAGGGGATGGGGAGGGGGGTGCACCGATGGCTTCCAGCTGTGGGGTCTTCACAGCTGGGGGAGGGCCTAACTGCCAGGGATGCTGGCCCCACAGAGCCCTGGCCACAGCTGCTCCACCTTCCCTGTCCCCGTCTGCACCTCGGCCCCTCATTGGGGGTCGGGGGGGTTCACCACAGGCACACAGGCATCCCAGCCACTGCCACACCATCACCCAGCCAAACACAGCATGCACACCACAGCAGCCCCCAGCCCCCATGCACATCACCACTGCGTTCACATATACATTCACTCAGCCTCTCACACACCTACACTCACTGTTCAGAACCACACTCAGCACACCAACACCCCCACTGCACACATGCTCGAAACCACAGCCGTCCCACAGCCATCCCACACCCGCCCCTACACCTTATCAAAGTACATGTCCCAGGACAACCCTCCCCCATCACACACACACACAGAGCTACACAGTTCAGAATTTTCGAAGCCAAGGAAGAGGCATTGTGTTGTTTTTAGCCCCCTCATCAAAGCAAACCATTTAAAGGTTTAAAAGAAGGTTGCCAGGCACACCTATAATCCCAGCAACTCAGGTGGCTGAGGCAGGAGGGTCACAAGTTTGAGGCCAGCCTCAGCAATTTAACAAGGCTCTAAACAACTTAGCTTTCCTAACTTAAAAAACAAAAAGGGCTGAAGATGTGGCTCAGTGGTTAAGCATCCCTGGTTCAATCTCTACTATCAAAAAAAAAAAAAAGAATGGGACACATCCCTGACCCTGGGTTTACTTTAACCCACCCATCACTGCCCCCACCCGCTGGGGAAATGGATTCTTCCATTCAACTGTACCCCATCCCCAGGCCTGATCCTCACCAGGGTTAGAAGTAGCTCTCTTTTCAGTTAATGACCCTGGGGCTCAGCCCTTGTAGCTCTTCTCCCTTGAAGGAAGAGAGACCGTTGCACGGTTTCCCTGATAAACCCCATCGAGCAGCAGCTCCGTGCATTGGCATGTGCCAGGCGAGAGGGAGGTACAGGCTTGCTCTGGCCCTGCGCTCAGCTCTGCAGCAGGGGTGGATGCTGCCTACAGAACAGGACACTCTATACCTTCCCTCAGAGGAAAGGGAACAAAGTGGTCTGGAGTCCAGTGTGGGGTGGGGGGAACCTGCCAGACCAGGAGTTGTGGTAGGCGGGCTTCCTGGAGGAGGTGGCCTCTGGGAGGCCTTAAGCAACATGTATCTGTGCAGATCAGGGAGTAGGGAGCAGAATTGGAGCTCATTCCAACCCCACAGAACCCCCTAGCACATCCCCCTGTTTTATTGTATTCGCAGCACATCTGAATTCATCTTATTTGCATATCTGTTTTTATCTGTCTCCACCCCTACAGTGAAAGCAAAGGTTTCCTGTGCCTTGTCCACTGCACTTAATGCCTGTGTCTCCAGCTCCTAGAAAAGTGTCTTGGGTCCAGGCACAGTGGCGCACCCCCGTAATCCCAGCAGCTTGAGAGGCTAAGGCAGGAGGATCGCAAGTTCAAAGCCAGTCTCAGCAACTGTGAGGTGCTAAGCAACTCAGTGAGACCCTCTCCTCAATACAAAATAGGGCTGGGGATGTGGCTCAGTGGTTGACAGCCTTTGAGTTCAATGCCCGTTACCCTCCCCCAAAAGAAGAGTGTCTAGGGTTCTTTAAGGGGAGGGAGGGAGGAAGGAAGGATGGGAGGCAAGGAGGGAGAAAACCCCATGTGCCAAAGCTTGGGGATCTGGAGGTCAGTGTGGCAGAAGTAAGAGGGTGGCGGGCCTTGAAGGTCAGGCTGTGGAAGGGGACTCAACATCCTGCAGTGGGAGCCACAGGGTATATGAGCAGGGGAGTCATGTGTACAGACCAGTGTATCCCAGGCCTAGCCAGTCAGTGCAAAATCCCCTTGGCCATGAGACATCTGGTCTCAGATGTCCCCAGCTGATAGGCAAACACTATATAGTAACAGGATATATGACTTTTAGCATTGAAGTTCCTACATGAACCTATTATAGCATTACAGTTTACATTATAAGGGTGGGGACAGATAAAAACAGATGATCAGATAAACAGGAAAAGTTCAGATACACCTTCTCTCCTTAGCTTCACCCTCAGGTCAGCCAGTGGGAACCAGTCCCAGATGGAAACTGGTTATGATGTAAAGGTCTAGTTTTGGGGGATCATTTAAGGTACATGCAAAGAGTGAGGGTCCAATTCATAAGAGGGAGGTGGCTTGATCACTCCTCCCTTCCCAGGAGCCTCCTTTACCCTTTTGGGGTGTGGACAAAGCCAGAAACCAGGCCTAACTCTTGGTAGAGAAAAGCGTACTTGGTTTTAGGACCAAAGACTAGGTGACTTTCACAAGTGACTGGGACAGACAGAGACTAATGAAAAGGGTTTTGTGAGCCACCTGCTGCCCACTTTCCAAAGCTGGTCAGGATGAATGCTCTGGGAGGTTTCATCTGGAACTGTCTCCAGTTGGAGGAGGGCTTTTATCTCCTATCCCGCTGTCCTGGGAGGGAGGCCTAGCAGTGCCAATCAGGAGCTCCAGGGTTTTGTATGGGCTTTTAGCAGGGCTGTTCTGGGTAAGCTGAGCTCATGGCCACCTCAGCTGCCCCAGTGGAACCATCTGAAGACTCTCCCGCCCTCCAACCCCCAGGCCTAGAGCCCACAGC